TCCGAAGCCAGAATTCAGTGGAACTAATTATTTTTCTGTAATTTTATAAAACTGGAACAACCACTCCCTATACGATCCATCCAGTTGTTTCAGTGATGAATTGGCACTAGCACATTAGCACACTTTTAAGAATTTTCGAAAGCGGGAGCCATCAACAGCTTTGCCAGTGCGTGGTTACTATTGGCTCGGGCTGCTTTCTGACTGCGTCCACTCATATGAGCGAATATGGAGGGGATTTTGACTTTTGTACAAAATCAAAAGCAAAATTTGTGCCGTGTTTAATTTCCAAACAGCATTCAAAAATAGTCCCAGTCAATTACACATTATGATTAACAATCATCTATTTGAATATTGTTTCTTCTAGAAGCTGCTCAGTTAATGGAGGTCTGCTCCCTGACATGTGAAAGTACCGATTTACCATCGAAAAGAAAAAATATTGCTAGAAGGGCTGGTTTTTCTACAGATAGAACCAAATCAATAAACTGAACTCATAAGTAGCAGTGCTTGTAGCAAAGTCTACAACTAACAAAAAAAAATGCTTATACTGTAAATAATTCAAAAATCGGTCACGTATCTCTCGGAAGTTTCGGCTGTGATGGACAAGGATTTTCCTTCATTAATCGCCAAAGACAAGCATTGCTGATGATGTTTCCTTTAACAGGGGCAAACAGTGAAAGTTTATTGCCGCCCAGTGAGTCAGAAAACCGAGGCCGACTGTCGACGCTGGTTCGTTGAGCCGAATGGAGATTATGAGGATGCGGAAAATCAACTGGCACAAGTGCTGCGTGTCAAGACAAGCAAGGGTTTCACTGCTCTTGAGGTATGCTTGAGACCTGTCCATCTCAATAATGGTTACGGCTAGAGATGAGACAAGGACTGGATTTGGACTGGTTCATACTCGCTTGCAGTTCACTGCTCCATCCTGGACTTACTCGCCCACAGAGAAATGGTCTCTTGATTGTTGAAGAAATTTTTCGTAGTACACTGAAACTGGTTTTGCCATGGCCTCGTGCGGTCCCTGTCATAAGCCCACTTTCTGGACACAAATCTTCAGGCGCGAATTTGCTGAAGCTATTCTTTCGTATTGCAATTTCTTGTAAAAATTATTTTCAGATTCAACTTTTGACGAATATGAAGAACAAACCTGCCATAAATTTTGCTTCTTCCCTATCCCTCCCTAGAAGAGCAACTCGTTCCTTTTTTTTTCGTCCCATCCCACAGAAATGACATTTCGTAATTCGCATAGTTTTCATGCGTTTTTTTCGCAGCAATGCAATGCGAAAAACGCATATTGACGAGAGGTTGTCTGTGTGTGTCTGTGTGTGCGCTACGCGTCTGTACCGATTTTTATGCGTTTAGTGCTGTGTAACAGCAGTACAAAACGCATATTGTTACGGGGTTGTCTGTGTGTGTTTGTGTGTGTGCGTGTGTTTGTGTCCGCAGCTACTTGTCCGCAACTTTCAACTCGCGAACCACAAAAGCCAAGAAGCTGAAAATTTAGGGTAACGTTCCTCACCCACGTGTGACCCAGCAAATTTAAATTCAA